TATCTCAGACCAACTGTCTAAACATGATTTGTCAGGTGCAGGAGTGAATGAGGGAGAAGATATGAAAGCTTGGACAGAAAGCAAAGTTTTAGTAAACAGAGGCAAAGTCTTCAGAGGCTGAGATGATCAGCTCGGCTACAGCAAAAGAGAGATAACAAACACACAGATAGATATCTACATAAAAACTCCAACCATCACCCAAGTCAAAAAAGAAGCACCATTAAAGCCTTGGCAGACCGTGCAAAAAGAATCTGCGAAGCCCACCTCCTCCAAGATGGACTGAACCACCTCAACTGGGCTCTCCAGGCCAAGGGAGACTCCACCTCAGACATCAGAAGAGCTGCAAGACCAAGAACAAGCCACGAGAGTCAAGATGAAGATCCACCCAGAGGAAAAGTGTTCCTGCCAGACATCAAGGGAACCACTGACCGCAGAGGGAAGCTGATGAGGAAACACAACATACAAACAATCTACAAACCCACCAAGAAAATCCAACCAATGCTACGTTCAGCAAAGGACAAGAGGGATCCTCTCACTTCTGCAGGAGTCTACCATTGTATCCCATGCAGCTGTGGACAGGTCTACATAGGGACCACCAAACGCAGCATTGCCCAGACACGCATCAAGGAACATGGAAGGCACTGCAGACCCCTTCAACCAGAGAAGTCAGCCATAGCAGAGCACCTGATGAACCAGCCTGGACACAGCAGATGATCTGAGAACACAGAAATGCTGGACCACTCTCACAACCACCATGTCAGACTACACAGAGAAGCCATTGAGATCCACAAGAGGCATGTGGACAATGTCAACAGAAAGGAAGAGACCATGAAAATGAACAAAATCTGGCTACCAGTATTAAAAAACTCTAAAAATTACAACAGCAAAACAACAGAGAGGAAACAACCAGGCACATTAACACCTCTCAACAAAAGATTTCCCAGGCTCAGCCAGGCCTTCAAATGCTAATGAAGGTGGTCAGTTGAAACATTCACACCTAGCTCCAGCAGAGAAGAGCTCTTTGCCCCACCCCAGTCATTCCACAGATATATAAACCCATTTTCCTAATTCCAACAGACCTCACTACCTCTGAGGATGCTTGCCATAGATGCAGGCGAAACGTCAGGAGAGAATGCCTCTAGAACATGGCTCTATAGCCCGAAAAAACCCACAAGAACCTAGATAACAAACTTATCTGGTGGGAAGGTCAAGATAAACACTTTCCTTTTAGTTTTGAGATCTGAAAAAGCTTTATAATGATTCATAGGAGAGACTTGCCTCGGTTAGGTCAACACTGTTATTTTATTACGGTCTTGCTTTCAAGTGCTCTGAGTTTCATGTCCCAAGTTTTTGCTAAGCTCAAGATTTATCTATGAGATTTTCTTGCTGTCTCGTTTTGTGGATTCAAGTGCCTAATTTCATGGACTTTTATGGACTCTTGGATTTTGTATTCCTGTGAAGCTGATGGGCTATTTCTTATATTGGATATTTACTGTTTTTGCTGTTTTTATTGCTTTGGTTACATATAATCTAGATAAATAAAAATGTAATGTTCGTTTGTGGGATTAACAGAACTCAAAAAGCACTGGATGAATTGACACCAAATTTGGACAAAAGACACCTAACAAACTAATGAATGTCCTTCACTCAAAAAAATAGATTTTGTCATTTGGGAGTTGTAGTTACTGGGATTTATAGTTCACCTACAATCAAGGAGCATTCTGAACCCCACCAACGATGGAACTGAACCAAACTTGGCACACAGTTCTCCCATGGCCAACAGAAAATGCTGGAAGGGTTTGGTGGGCAGTGTCCTTTAGTTTTGGAGTTGTAGTTCACCTACATCCAGAGATCACTGTAGACTCAAACAACGATGGATCTGGACCAAACTCTACACAAATACTCCATATGCCCAAATGTGAACACTGGTGGAATTTGGGGAAAATAGAATCTTGACATTTGGGAGTTGTAGTTGCTGGGATTAATAGTTCACCTACAATCACAGAGCATAGAATTGGGCCAAACCTCCCACACAGAACCCCCATGTGGGCCACAGCAACGCCTGGCAGGGGACGACTAGTCTTCAATAAACTGCTTGCTGATTTTACCAAGCTGGTGTAGTGCCTAAGGTCAGAGGTGTTCCTGCTCTGGAGTCTGGCAGTCTCACTGCAAATGCAAGCTTAACTATTTTATTAACATTTTTCTTCCAACTTCAGTTTTCTCCCCCTGCATACTGAGGTCCTTGGGGGACCCGAGTGCCAACTGTCACTCAGACGACCTTTTCATCAGCCACCCAAACGACAGCTAAATGTCAGAATTCAAAATGATCTAAAGACCTCTCTCTTTCAGCAGGCCTACCCACCCAGTTCTAAGCACGAATGTTCAGCTCCTGTCCTGTGTATTTAATATGTATTTTATAGAAATGTGTTTTAATATGTATCTTTTATAGAACTACATTGCAATATGCATACATAGAATTTTTGCAATGTTTGATTACAGGAATGGAAATATGGACGACGAATTTGGATCACGACTCTAGTTATGAGATGCATTGTGTTGTTATTGTTGTGTCAATGTTGTATATTGTGCTCTAATGGTTTTAAATTGTATATCGTTGATGGATCTTATCCTTGTTGTAAACCACGTTGAGTCGCCTGTTAGGCTGAGAAACTGCGGTATACAAGGAAAGGAAAGTAAATAAATAAATGAATGTGTGTGTTCTGACTGTGCTGTGACTCACTTCGAGGAGAGCTGGGAAAGAAGCAATTTTAACAATATGTATTTGAATCTAACATTTCCAGGCCTTTCTGCGAAGCCACAGCAAAATGCTAAAATATTCCACCGCTGAGCTCTCATTTTCCAATATTCATGAGCCTTGCCTTTGTATGTCTTGGATCAGACCTTTCTAACCTGTGTGCTATGATACAGAAGCGTGTTGCCTGCAGCCTGCACGCGTGTCACGTGAAAACCCCGCTCTTGTCCCCGACTGAAGCAGAGGAGGCACCGGGAGGGGCAAGGAAGCCACTCGGCGCTAAAATGGGTATTGTTCATAAAGAACATAAAACTTGTAGATAACAATGTTTGTGATGAACCACATGGAGCAGCTATAGAGGAAACTACACGATCATTGTTTATACACCAAAGATACTTAGATGAAGGGCTAGAAGGCAGGATCATCAAGTTTGCAGACGACACCAAATTGGGAGGGAGAGCCAATAGTCCAGAGGACAGGAGCAGGATTCAAAACGATCTTGACAGATTAGAGAGATGATGGGCCAAAACTAACAAAATGA